GTGTGGAAGTGAAAGTTGATTGGGTTGTGATTGGTTTCTTATTAGAATGCTTTAATGTAGCAAAGTTTTGAGATTTGTGTGTATCAGATTGGGGGTATGTGATGTAACGTATAGAATTTCTGGTTTCTTAAAGAAGTTCAATGTCATGGATTTTTTAGTGCATTTTGTGAGTTCCTAAACAGTTTTTTTCTAGGAGGTATTACAAATTGGGAGCAAGACATTATCTTTGTGAATCCATATTTCGAATCGGTTATTTTTGTTTGATTGAAGCGATTTTTCCAAGTCATGAGCTTTTCGATATATGTAACATGCATTTCTAAGCTACCATCATGATGTAGGATTTTGCATCGGCTTCTTTTTCGACTAGCATGCATTTATGAGTTGTTTTCCCATGAAGTGGTGGCCCTGGTGGGCTTACCTAGTAAAAAATTGCAAGGGCATAGCTGAAGGGATTGTTGTGAAAGATATGCTTTCACTCGCTGCCTATTGCCTGCTTTTGGTTTCTTATTTATTATCCATTATTAAAGGCGAACCATTTTTCTTGATGGAATCTCATGATGGAGTTCTGGGTATGTGTGGAGTACACACTGTGGAAAAGAGAGTGCTCTTTTGGGCTTTGTTAGTCCAGCATTTCCTTTTGGATATCCTAAAATCAAAGGAATAGCATGAAGTGAGTATGTGTGGAGTACACACTGTGGAAAAGATAGTGCTCTTTTGGGCTTTGTTAGTCTAGCATTTCCTTTTGGATATCCTAACATCAAAGGAATAGCATGAAGTGGGAAACTACAGGTTGAGAATGCTAGAGCCTTGACTAAGATCATCCAATTAACGTCCTTAAAGCTCAAAAGAGAATGCTTAGTTGAAATCAACTCTTTCCAAATCCTTTTGTGACACCTGAAATTTTGACTTCTGTGATATAGGAGCTACACAAAAGGCGCTTACAAATAAAATCAAAGATTCATAAGAAATCAAAAGGTATCATTTTTCATATTACCTACTATGAAGTTTTTCATATGGAATTTTTATGCTGTTCTTATCTAATAACCTTTTATGGATCTCAGATGGTACTGGCAAATCTCATGGAAAAGACCTCAAAAGCAAAGATACGGGCACAAACATTGAAGACTCAGGTGTTCCTGATTTGAAACCCCTTGATGACAATGCCAATTTCTCTACTCCACAAGACAAGGTGTCAGCACATCATTCAGAAAAGAAACGCCAGAAATTACACTGGGGGTATGTTCTGCTATTAGTCCTGGGTGTAATTCTTAACTATGCTTGTAGGACACGTTCAAGTGGGTAAATGTAGCAGCTCACACATGAAAAATAAGATGTTTTTACGGGTGTTTTATTTCTAAGGTCTCTAGCTATTCTAATTTGACATCCACAATAACCCCTTGGTATGAAACAGAACCCACTTGTGGAGTGCTAAACGGTGAGTTATGCAACAACGAGGCTATATTACAAGTGTGTGAGAGAGTATGCCTGCTTATACATGCATTAGTTCTCATGCGGCCCTGTTTTTTTCACATCAATGTTCTGATTATTTGTAATTCTCAACACAATTTATGTAGCAATAATGTCATCGAAATCAATGTCTGTGGCTTAGCATTGCTATGTTTCTTCCCCCCACTCTGTATCCTGTTCTTAATAGTGCCCTATGTGTTACTTTGTTCGTAGGCTTGATACAAAGGAAAGATGGGAGAGAAAAGCCAATATGTAGACGTCACTGGTTCTTTGAGACGCAGCGCACCTGATCTGAAGTTCGCCTCTCAAAATATTTGCAAAAGGCGCCTGAAGTTCCGTTCCTACATTGGATTTCATTTACATGTTTCGACAAACATCATCATGCACAAGCTCTTAATGATGTAACGAGGAATATATTTAGAAGGGCTGGCAAATAACGACTAGGTGACTTGGAAAAGATGGAATAGAAAGTGTTTGGTTTGAATGTAAATGATTCTACAAGAGCAGCAGCATCCATAGCAATCATTTGTTACATATACATGTTTTGGCCATAGTTATAATACCTGGCTCGCGGGGTTAAACAAACAACCAAAATACCGAGAGTAAATACAATTTCAATCAAACTATAAAATTATGTTAGGGATAATTTTCCCTTTTAATCTTGATTAGCCAAGTTACATAAGCATGATTATGAAAGCTCATTGCCTTTCAGAAAATGTTCAGTTAAACAGCATTCAGGAATACAACTGTGACATTGTTGTGATGCAACTACAAGCCATCTCTCTAGTATCATTTTTTTCTTCTCAGTTTTAACGTTCCCCAGGCGGATGCCTCCCTAAATGCTATAATGTCACTGTCTCTCTAATGATGTGGACGATAAAGCAACATAACAAGCCAAGTTTCGCTACGTGTTCCTTTCAGATTATGTTAGCCGTTTAATTTCTTAACTCAGAGGTATAGGTATACACATCATTTACCAAGGCTTGGAAGCTTAACTCGACAATGTGCTAATCAGTCGGCGGAACGGCTACGTAAAGTTTCATCCAAGAATCATATGGAAAAGAATTTATTTGTAATATTTGACATTCAGCTATGATGAAACAAATGATTATTGGTGCCGCAGTTCTGATATTACATACAAAAAACATCCAGTTCACTAAGCTGGTTACGGCAGCGACTTAACTTTGAGCATGTTGGACTATGGCAAACCCAGTGACAGTTCCTGCAAAATGATGAACCCTCCAGGGGTAAAAAGCACCATGTCTATGAGCCGGGGTGACATTATTATCAAGTGCACTTTCGACAAGTATTCCGGTTAAACTGCAGGGTCAAGAGCTCGTTCTATTTCTTCTAATGAACGTCCCTTCGTTTCCACAACATTAGCTGCTATGTACAAGACACCAAGAAGACAGATGCCTGAAAATCCTAAATATACAGAGCTGATCCCAAACTTGTTCACAAAGCTCAAGAAATACAGGCCGATGACAAAATTTGCAGCCTGTTACAACAGCAAAGCAAGTCATTATTAGCATGTAATGTCAACCAACCAAACATTCTCAAAAAACAAAAAAGAAATCAAGTAGATTAAACATAAGTTACATTGGCATGTACCCACTCAAAGACAAGTAAAGAATATACACAAATACATGACTACAAATATGTCCAGAAAACTCCACAGAACAGTGGCATTCTGTTGGTATTATCTCTAAATCAACCATGGGCTCCCCTACAGAAATGCATGTGCATTCATATTTATACAAAATGAACTATTCAAAATCATTGACAAATGAAATGATGACTTGTTTTGCGGTCACCATCTTAATTCCAGCCAATTGCTTATCTATATGTTCGGGTTGTGTTTTGCTTTTATTGGATAGCAGTTTTTTAAGGTGGTAACTAGAGGCAAAATTGCAAATCATTGCACACTAGCACACTACTAATTCTCTGCAGTTGGAAAACCATAGTTTACAAATGTTCTTCTTCATGACTTACCCAGTGCATGCCCAAGGATAAAGCGACTGCTTTCGCTCTAATTCTGGAGGAAAATATCTCTGGGAGAAGAAGAGCAGGCACAGGACCAGCACCAAGTGAAAACGACAACACATAGCTGTGTTAAGAGATGAGAAGACACATTTAGATTTCAACGTCCAATTGGACAAAAATAACACACATCAGTAAAAGGAGAAGCTCGATTAAATCTCATTTTAACCCCTCTCCATCCCCTTCTCCCCAGACGCTCATAAACAAGAGGAAAGAAATGAGCTTGACTGATCTCACAAGGAAAATAATTGACTTACCAAACTGTCCCTAGAACAGCAAGGGTTCCAGAATACGGTGCTAGGGCCTTCCAAGTGAAGGACAAGGAAAGCAGCAGCATTGAGGCAGCCTTCATAACCAAAGACACGGAATTGGAAGTGTATTTGATACAATATTATCCTACACATTCGAAACATTTTTCCCTCGGAATACAAATGTTTGTAAAGAAAGATGCACAAAAGATGTACTTAGAACTTGGACATGTGGAGGGCTTCTAGTTATAGAGGGTTGAAATTATGTTACCAAATTCTATGCCATGTGTGCTGGAAGAAGAAAAGGTAGACAGACTAGAAATACTAGTATTATCTAACAAAGTGCATCGATAATGCCTTAGTAACCATCAGCTCATCAATATGTTTTATAATGCCATCTATCAGTCACCAAAGACAGAGAAGAAAGGAGAGCTCACGACTCAAGAATCCATTCAGGTCACAAATAAGACTTTATAATTGGAGACTACTATGCACATCCTACTTTCAGCATATAAAGGTGACTTGTATGAACAGACCAGACCACTAAATCCTTGTCAAGATAACTTCTTAATGTAGATTGGCCACTGTTTCTTTTACTTTTTCTGTGTTCTCTTAACTCAATAATTCCCGACTAGGTATGAGACCAATAGGATTAAAAGTCAGTTTTATAACAATTTTTAGTAGAAGTACTTGATCATAGAAAATCAAGCTCATCAGCGTGGGCTGAGAGAGAGAGAAGGATAATGTGTAACTGAAATCAGATGCAGAAGGTAGTTAAAAAAGGGTGTCAGCTCTGTTCTTGATTATCATAAAAATGCCACAGAAAATAATGTTTATTTGATTAAGAAGAGTGGATGGTTTGAAACTACCAAATAACCTACCATTCCTAAGAAGCTAGTGATCAGAAGACTCTTCCTTCCTTGCCTGTCCATCAAGGAAGATGCAATAGTTGTACCTGGAAAAGGCCAGTCAAATTAAAACATTTGCAAATTGTAAAGTTATACATGCACCTAATTTCACTGGGGAAGATAACAAAAATTTTACCAAAGACGTTTGATGCCCCAACAAGAGCACTGGCAGCAACATCTGATTCAATGCCAGCACTACGGAACACAGCAGTTGAATAATACACCACAGCATTTATACCAGCCATTTGTTGGAAAAAGAAAAGTGCTACACCAACGCTCACAACTGGATAAAAATAAAAAATAACTCATTTACCCTGACAAATCAAACTTAATAGTTGTACAAGAAGTATAATAACAAGTTGCAGCGACAGTAATCTATAGAAAGTTACTTTGGATATTATTTTACTTGTGAAAACATTATTTTCCAAATAGCCGCAATCACTAAACATGCTTTTAATACAGGTATGCAGGGTGAAAACCGTGAAATTTTATCCCCATTCATTGTTTTGGCAATATTGGCTTGGAAGGTGGTGGGAAGTACAATCTTTGATTTTCACAGAGTCCATCAAATCTTTATGCAGTCAAGCCTAAAGTAGTGGATTTAATGGAGACATCAACAACTAACTAAAACACAGAGGTGCAGTCATGAGTATTTTCAGAGAATTTAGGAACATTAGAAATCTTTTCAAGTGGCAAATAATGCTTCAAATCAGACAAAGATTTTATCATTTGATCCAGATTATTGTTTAGAAGTCCAATAACCCAAGATCTACATTTTTTGTTTGAACCCGAGAGTTACGAGGACCTTTCCAATAGCGGCTGCTAAATAGGTCAAACCATCCAGCTTCTTGCTCAGCAGAACCTTGACTAACCACATTTAAATCGGTCATGACATCAGCAACTCTTTCTTTTCCATAAAGAGTATTTATGGATTTTTCAACTTCAGAAAATTTTCCTTGCTTCAAGACAAAGAAGTTTGTCAATGACCTCTAAATGAATTATTAGTTTAGATAAAAACGTGTGCACTTAAATCCAAACTCTTGCCAAATACACAAAGGCTCATTGATATGAAATTAGATACTACAAAAAAACCTGAAAAAGCCACCGAGGACTTTCTGGAGAAAATGCCATTCCCAGTGCCAATAGAACAGCAGGAACAGCTGAAATGCTGAACATTGTCCTCCACCTGAAGGAGGCATATAAATAGACTCAAGTAAATAGATAGTCATTAATTAGATAAAAGAAAAGGTTATTAATGAAAGACAATTTCCAGTAAAGAGCACTTTAATAGCCATTCAAGAAATAATCAACATCATAACTTCAACTTGGTGCCACTCATTTTAGTCTTATTGATAAATTGTGCATAAAACATGCGTTCTTTTGACATGACAACTTCAATTTTGCCAAACACGTATTGAATAGATGATCTGAACTTCTATCTGGAATGCTAACAAGACAACAGCTTATAGTTACATTTTTTATTTATCAATAAGTCAATGACACAGGAGCATTAATTTCAATTCTTTCTGTTATATTCTTCAATGCTACACAAAACTAAAGCCAGGTTTAACTCTCTTTCTATTAAGGTTCCATCCAAACTTGTGCACACACAATACGCACACCTAGAAAGAATCTGAGCAAAGAACTCAATGTGCATGCAATTGGGCATTGCTAGAAGAGTTAGTTAAATTTAACTAAGACGGCATCGTACTCTTGAGACTAGGAGATATCATAACCTTTGAACGAGTTCACTTTAAATCTTCACAAAGTTAAATTTCCAAGATCAAAGAATTTTCAATGCCAATCATGAGGGTCTTATGTTGTTGCTGAATGCATGTCTTGAACTCTTTAGTGTTTATTCTCTACTCCTAAAAAAGATATGTTCAGTCTAGGTTATCTTCATTCGGAAAAATGCCCCCAATACCACATCTTTTTGCAACATCTATTCCTTTCCATTTCAATTAAGTTTACCTGCTCAGACAAAATGCGATTAGTTCGTCTCCAACAATTGATGCAGTTACCTAATCTTGTTCACCTAGATCAAAGTTTTATAAAGATACTAATAACAAATACAAAAGGGGGGGGGTGCAAAGGATATTCCAACCTCAACTCATTGAACAACTATCTAAAATAACACCGATGAGGAAAAAAAATCAAGAAAGTTGCTAAAAGGTAAAAGGAAAGGCTTAAGAAATGAAGTCATGGATGGAAAGTTCATGAACTTAACATTCTTCCATCCCTCCTTTCATAAGTACAGTATTAGTAATAACACTTTCCAGGACCTTGCCATCCCTGCCCGCCTGAACTGGCTAGAAGGTTCATTATATTACAACTCTTCATCACATAAATCAAAAGATTATACACAACCTTGTCATTTTGCCTTGTTGTATTCCAGAAGAGCTTATGTCAACAATCACATTAAAATTTTGTCTGACATGAGGGCTGACCTCATTACTTTTACACAACCTCGTATACTAGTTCTGTTCTGCTGTTTTCAAAGCATGTTGAAACCCATCTTCTTGCTGGCACTTGGATTTGATTAAGATTCAGAAGATCAATCAGTTTTTAAACGTATCAACTACTTGCCTTTTGAGACATTTAGATAATGAAGAGAAGCAAGGATAAAATGTATTGACTGCCCAACTATTTTTAAACTTTCCTAATGCAAAATGATTGCCACTCTCCAAATTCCAGACTAGCAGACAGGTTCTATTCAGGCCACATGTCATGCTAATCTGAGAATTTGAAAGGTCAAATTCAAAATTGACTCATTATCTCTCCTTTCCTTATATAAATCATATTCCACTTGGCAACCACAAGTATGAGAATTCCTAAAAATTGGACAATCAATGAGTACCTCTAAACAAAGAAACCAAAAAACACAGTAGATAATTATTTGCTGCTTCAATTTAGCACCAGTATGACATATCTAAGCAGCTAAAATTCCATTGCTCCACCTTTGAAGTCTATCATCAATAGCTTCTACTCATACAATCCAAAAACTTTCTTGTGCACAAGGAAGAAATCATTCTTGAAGCAGGAATGCCAAAAGCTTTGTTGTTTATATGGTGAGGTATATAACCCTATGGCTTACTAAAAATGCTTATTTCTTTCTTCAGGTTGATCAAACATAGCAAAATCAAATATGCAACCACTAAAGAATGCAAATAAAACATACCATATAGGATTTCCTGCCAATGGCAATCCCGCTACCAATGCCAAAAGAATCCCAATGCATATAAAAAGTTGGTTTACGGAACCCAGCACACCACGGATTTCAGTTGGCGAGATCTGACCAAAACAATAAGTACTACTAGATTAGCTCTTGACAAACTACAAACACTCACAGTGACCTTATGAAAATGAAATAAGTTACAACCTCGGATATGTAAAGTGGCACGATAGCAGAAGAAATACCAATTCCTATACCAGCAAGTAGACGCCCAATTATCATAGACTGTACACTCTGGGCCGTAGCACTGAAAAATTTTGTAGGACCACATGAAACATAGCTTTTGCAGGAGTATTGAAAATCAGTAGGCCAAAATATAAAGATAAAGAGCAAACCAGAGCACAGCACCAATTGCTAGCGGAATTGCATCCAGCTGAAAAGTCCTTGTTCGCCCAAACTTATCAGCCAATGCTCCCCCAGTAAATGAACCAACAGTAGCACCAGCAAGCAGTGTGCTAACAATCCATCCTACTCAATCATTAGAATGCCAAGAATTATAAGCAACCCAGTAACGGCCAATTAAATAAACAAAAAAACAGACAAAGAACCGCAGCCATGTCTAACAAACCAAAACATCTCTGTTTTACTAGTTTGGCAAATGGCATTCTCTGTTTCCTTGAATTAAACTCAAGCAATCTACCAGCAAAGCACGGAGCTCTTAAAGAAACAACAAACAAAATCCTATTTATGAATGAATGAATCAATAAACAAACAGCAGTTCCTTGCCTTGTAAGACAGCATTTTCAACAATGCCAAGATCCTTAGCAAGATACTCCAGAGCACCATTCACCACCCTGAATCAACATCATCATCCAAAACCAATAAAAACAATTGAAAATATGACTAATAACCATGGAAAATGCAAATTAATTAATTAATTACCCTAAATGATAACCAAACAAAATAGCTCCTAAACAAGCAACTCCAACAAACGGCAAGACCGAAGCTTTCCCTTGCTGCTGCTGCGGCACAGGCAGAGCGCAAGTAACATCATCCTCAGATTTTAAAGGCCTAACTTCTTCCACATCTCCTCCATCTAAAAAAAAAATTAAAATCCAAATCAAACACGTAACTTCACAAATAAAATAAAATAAAATAAAAACAATCAAAACGGACGGACTGGAAGCGAGAGCTTTGAGGACAGGGCGGGAGTGGAAGAGAGAGGAGCGAGTGAGTTCGGTTGCCATGGAGGAGGAGGAGGAGAGTGAATTGAGACGCAATCCAGAAGAAGAAGAAGAAGAAGAAGAAGACGAAGATAGTTGAGAGTTTCTATTGCTGAAATCAAGGGAGGAGGTGTAGTGCTGCTTTTGACTTTTCAGAGCTCTAAAGCCTACTGCTAGGCTTTTGGTGCTAATGCTGCCTTTGACTCCTCCGCCTCCGCCTCCCCCATACATTACGACTGCTTGCATTTTACTTAAAGATTCAATCACACAAAAGTCAATGAATAAATAAATAAAAACACTCAATTTAAAGAGAGCAGATAAAAAGCTAAAGCCAGTGCAGAGAGAAACATTTAATGCATAAAAAATGAAATGATCGAATCGAAGCAGTCACGGCGGAAGTTGAATTACCGAGTGACTCGGAGAGAAAGGGATGATAGGACCCCTGATGAGTGAACACCCCTGAAGTTGCTTTTCTTTTTTCTAGTGTAGACTGTTTGGATCAGAGAGGGAGGCTTTGGGAATTCCGTTGAGAGTGGAGACTGGGAAACAGTTGCTGTCTGCTTACTGAGCGCTTAACAGACAAAACAAGAGAACGAACAGAGGTGGAGGAGATTTCAACTCTCTTTCCTTTCGAGATCATTTCCTCCGTGAATAATTAATTTCGTTGGTATTTAATAATCAAATAATCAATTATTAATTTTTTTTTTACAATAGTAGCAGTGCCCTACAGTGGATAAAATGCGGAGGAGGAGGAGATCTGCGCTGGAGGGGTGGCAGGAGGATGGATCCGCATGTGACGACAGGCAGGGCAGGCGTTTGCGTTTTCTGTTCCCTCCGGCCATTTGGCAGTTTCTGTTCGCTCTTTCCACGTCATGTAAGGATGTCAAGATTCGGTTGTTAAGCTGGAACAATAAATATATTAGCAGAACCTGATTGGTGGGGGGAAAAGCCAATGAACAAGCCCTGAAGGGTTAAAGAATTTTAGTGGTCTATTTATCATTCTAGAATTATTTATTTGAGTTATTTAAATCTTTTCATAATTTTTTACACCGCTAAATTACTTACTTATCCTGGAAAGAAAAAAACATTAACTTTTGCCTAGCTGCTTTTGAGACATTGTAATTACCATATTATTCTTCAACCTAACTTGATGCCCATATTTATTATTTAATCACTTTACCACCGTCTTCGAGCGGTACGTGTGATGACTCATGAAGATGAGAAATGAGCTTTCTAGATGTTTTTTAATCCCTCATAGGTGTTTTTTTAACAATACTCATGTCTAAATTATCTCTGATTTGGTTGTAAATAACTTTTTTTTTCTTGATTTTTATGTATGGTTTTGCAACATTTCATATTAGCTTCTCAATTTGTTTTTCACTGGCATTTGATTTATGTTTTTTTAATTGTTATTTGTTTATTTAGATTAACTTATAAAATTGATTTTTTTCTCTAATTTTTTTCTTTATTATTTTTAAAAAAATTCAGAATTGATCTTTTTTTAAATTTCAAGTTTGGATATCTCTTCAATTTTCAAGATAAATTTTCAATCGCAAACAAACTTATGAGTTTTTTTTGTCAATAGCTATCTTCCATCAACTTATCTTTTTGATAAAATTTTATTTTTTTATCAAGGGTTGCATCACCTAAATCTCGTCTACACTTATAGAATTATTATTTATTATTACTAAACTTATACCACTAAAATATATAAATATTCAGAACGACTGGATAATAAAACAATCACAACAAGATCACACAACACAAGTTCACATCAGTACACACAACCATCACAATATACACTCCTGCTTTCTTCATGTTATATTTTTCTTTTCTCTTACAGTATAGTACTGACTTAGTGTTCTCTGTTATAATATAAAACTAGCTTTTGCAAAAGAGCAAGAAACAACCAAATCCAACCACCACAGCCTATAATATACTAGTGGTGAGAATCCTAAACATCCTATTACATATTGTTCCACGTTGTTAACGTTGCTTTTGCAAACAGTATTACACTGGACACGATCCATACAAGAACTGGCAAGAACTCTAGTTTATGGTTTCCAACATATATAGATGCAATAAATCAATCATATTCTCACCACGTTAATTAAATTCGAAAAATTGAACTTATATAAAATTATTTAATTTAATTATTGTAATATAAATTTATCAAAAAACAAAAAATAAATAAACCAAAAGTGATCAAACCAACAAGATTGTGTCTCTTCAAAACCCCGTCTAGTTCTAATTATCATTTCATTCTCTTTTCAGTCTTATTGCATATTAATATTTTAGTTTTTTATAAAAACCCAACTGATTAATTATTCTTTTTATTAATTGTTTTATTCCCTTGGTTATTAATCTTATATATTCGAATCTAATATAGATAACTATGTCTTCAACCATTGACCTGCCTTTTGGTTAAGTGGAAAACCAGAGGGAAATTAAGACGAAGAACTCAAATCGATCCCAATCCTCGGAAAGTTATGGTACGATGACACACTCTTCAAAGCTAGCTTGTTAACGCGTAGTTCCTCCAGCCCCAACAACTAATACTAAGCATTGTCACAACCATTGCATCTGCTTATAAATTCTTTGAAGACAAGTTCTCCTTCCAGATTTCAAAGCTTCTCTGTAGAAATAAACATGCACAATTTTCCTTCATCTGAACCTGCTAATATGGGGGCACAACGTCATCTACCTTTAGGGTTCTAGAACCCTGATCTCGGATCCTTATTTTATCTTCTCGAGCTCTACATAAAGCAACAGAGTACTGTACCTCGTATGTATGTACACTTGTTCACACAAGTGCCAACAAGCTTCGTTAATTGAGATAGAGGATATTGGTTTATAATAATAATCGTGGAGAACCTTGCGTTAATATGTATTCACGTATATGTCATTCCTTCTCTCGTCAGACATGGGTATAGTTATTAAAACCATTTCTGGAGTTAACCTGACACAGGACCCCGGGTTATGAGTTATAAATCAATTAACTTTTTTTTTAAATAAAATAAAATAATTAATTTTAATTTTAATTGAATTATAAATTAGCTCGCGAGATTGAATGAATTAAATTAGATTTAAGTTAAACATGGCATTAATTACAGGCTTAGCTTAATATCAATGTAATTGTTTTGAGAAAGAAAAATTGTGTAACAATTTAAACCATCTACAAATTAGCTATCAAAATATGATTAAATTTGAATAAAATAACTAATATCAATTACTACCAAAATGGAAATGAATAGGAATATAAAAACTCCAAATGAGAGAAACACAAGAATCTCGATGCTCAAAACATCATAACAATGACAGTGGTTTACAGATATGTGATTTGAATACAATGTACATGCTACATTCCATGGAAAACCAATTGGTTTTGTAATGTAAGAACCAATAATAACTTGGAGGTGGGACAATTTCGGTGACTTTGGGCAATCTTCCTATGTTAATGTCTGCACGATCAGTTCAACATCAAATTAATACTACAAGAAATGTCAAATAATGACTGCTAAAAGAGTAGTTTACTGATTAGGTGGGAGGCATATGTTATCACACGACTTTATGAGAAAAACCAAAGACCTTTTCGAGCAACAGTTAAGACTTGCATCAAAAGGTTTCTATGTTAATTGGGTGCTTCTAACATCCAATCGAACTTCTTAATCACTCCTTAATTACTGCACCAATTAATTAAAAAAAAACCCAGAGAGAGAAAGAGAGACTCAGTATTTTTTTTTTATTCAAAACTGAAAATTAACACCAAAAACGAACAGCACCAGTGCTGGCCAAAGGCTATCAAGAACGAAAATAAATCAATATGCAAACTTTTTTATATATTTATTTGTTAATAAAAAAATTTATTAATAAAAAATATTTTTGATCAACAAAAAATATTTTTTTTTAATGTAGAGTGAAAAACACTTGTTAAAAGATTTTTGATCAACAAAAAATATTTTTTTTTATTTAGAGTGAAAATCACTTTTTAAAAGATGTAAAAATTTTAGAAATATTATATTATTTATTGATTATGTCAAATTTGGTTCTCAAACTTTTAATTACTATATATTTTGTTTGAATTTTTTTAATTTTTTAATTTAAAATTTAATTTAATTTTTATATTAATTTTTCTCTTTATTTTTATGATTATTACTTTTTTTATTATTTTTTTAATTAAAATTTTTTATTTATCAAATTTAATTTTTATTTTTTTAATTTTTTTATTGTTGTGTATTTTATTTAAAATATTTTATAAAATTACAATTATAATTATAAATTTTTTTAATTTTTTATTTGTTAGGTGAAATCCGTGAATTTCCATGCACATCCAAGGGTTATATCATGATTTGTATGAAGTGATTGGTGATAATATTTTACGCAGTGCACATTTTAATTTAAACACAGCGGATTATCTTGCCGACCCCGACATAGTTGCCATGATGATTTAAATCTTTGTTGATCTTGATGTATGACAGTACTGAATCAAGACTGTTGTTGGATCACGATCCCATACCTTACTTGCGTGTGATGCAAAACCCTAATTGATGGATACAAGTTCTTTGACAACAAGGCAACTATAACGTATAATTAATTTGTATGGTTGGCCATCTAGTCTTGTCGATTATGCGTCTCTAATAGGACAACATTACATGGTAACTGGACCACTGTTATAAAACCCGATTTGTCCTAAGATTTGGATTAGCCCACACAGTGTTGATTCAATATTTTTTAAAAAAAATAATCAAATTAAATCTCACTTGGAGTTTTGACTGAATTGTAGATTGACTCGCTGGTTATCTGAGTTTAACTTTATTAATTTTAGATTAATTTTAATATAAAAAGGGTGTTGAATAGTATGGTAACTATTATTTTTTTAAATATTTTTTATTTTAAAATATTAAAATATTTTTATTTTTATTTTTTAAAAATTATTTTTAATATTAACATATCAAAATAATTTAAAATTACAAAAATATTAATTTAAAAAAATCAAAATTTATTCATCATCCAATTTAAAAACGATATCAAACAAAGTGATGACAAGCTGAATAAGGTTTCTAAACGATACCCTCGATCAAAGTTTTAGAACCCGGATCGACCCGACGAGATGACACGGGACCCAGCCACCTGGCCTTGGGACCGGTCCGGGTGAAGGTAAAAACCTGCTTGGAAATTAGCCCGGTCAAACCAAATCCATCAGGTCAAACCCGAGTGTGACCCTATCTTTTTTTATATATATTAGCAGTCATTAAACGATGCAGTTTTAGCCTTTTAAAAGGCCCAAATACTGAACAGTGAAGAAGAACAAAACAATATTAGGGACAGTTGCAATTTACAAACCTAATTAAATGAGCTCTTTTAAACCTAGCTGAGGAGTAGAGGACGTTCTGATTATTAATTGTTGTTGTTTCTTTGTGAAAAAGGTTTGAATCTCCTTCTTTCACTATTTGTTTTCTTTATTCTTGATCGTTTTTTGAATTACTGGCACTGATTTATTCGCAGGCCAATCGCTGGCATCAATTTCAATAGCTGGCATCAATTTGTTGTTCTTTTATTCATTCGTAGCCCAGTTACCTTAGTTATATTTCTCTAGCCTGATTTCTGCATCAATTTCTTTCTTTTCTTTTCTATAGCTTAATTTCAACTTCTGCTAAAAAAATAAAAGCTCTATTATTTGCAGTTTTTAATGTTAATCGATGATGAATTCTTGAATGTTGTTACCATGATTTTATTTGTGTATGATTTAATGTTTATTACCATGATTTTTTTGATGTTGTTACCATGATTCGGTAGTTATAAGTTAGATATATGGTGTTTGTATTATGTTGAACTGCATTGTTATAATTGTGTTGAATTACACATCAAGAAAATGAAACAATGATTATGCTTATGCTTGTTATTGATTTCAATTGTTTTGTTAATTTGTTAATTTTTTAGAGCATTGTTAATTCTTTTGTTTAATTAGATCTATTAATTTTTTAATGTATTTTTTTATTAATCTAAATCAATTTATATAACTTGTAATCTAATTATTTAACAAAATCAAATCAAGTTTCAAAACTATATCCTTGCATTAGCATATTAAAGTAGGGTTTATTAAAGAGAGGGTTGCGAGTAATGTCTGCGTAGATGACTGACTGGATCAAAAGGGTTAGACGTTCTCAGGATTTTGGGAACTGATTTTGAGGATATTAATCTCCAAATTGACCAGAACAAAGTTCACTGAAAGTAGACATTATCGTCGTGAAGACTGCTTGTTGCCTGTAAAAAAAAACACTTGGTCATTTATTATATTTCTTTAAACTAGGTCCATCCAGCTAGATAGGCAGTAGTACTAGGCACATCAGACAAATGTCATGTGGTTTATAATCAAGGAAAGCAACAAATGGGGAAGTTTATCAGAAGCCCGCCGTACCATTATTGTAGCTAGAAGGAAGAGACATGACGAGACATTAATTTGACGTTCTATGATGACTTTTGGCAGGTTTAATTAATTAATTAATTTCTATATTTATTTATAAGGTGATATGCATGATCGATGACATTCTCTATTCATTTTTATCAACACTGACATATACCAAATATCTTTCTTAATCACGATGAACTCGTTACTTCAAGTGTATAGTTAATTCAACATTATATATAACGTAAGAGTTTGAGAATTTAAAAATTATTTTTTATAACAAAGATTTTCCGTCATATTCTTAAAACCATAAGGAGAGTTTCCAAACATTAAATATATTTTAAAGATAAAAGAGGAGTTTTATTATCTGTAAATCTTGATCTTCGTAATTTCATGGTACCTAATTAGTATTATTGTTTTTTTTTTTTAATTTGAAGAACAATCTTAGATTAATTAGTTCTCGTGTCAAAAGACTAAATCCACCTTTTCAATATAATTAAAAGCAATATATGAACATTGAAATTAGAGAACTCATTAATCCAACAAGACTATCTAAACAGTTCAAACCACATTTCATCGTTGAAAAACATCACATTGATGCTTGTTATACAGTGAAAACGAAGTTTCAATGAAGCGTAACAAGTCTATAAAACGTCACACAACTCTTTTTTTTTCCTGGAGACAGAAGAACATTGTATACTTCTAAGATAGAAAGTGCTTCTTGTTTAACAAACTTGTAGCTTCTTCCACTTATTATTTTGTCTTTTAATGTGATAAATCAATGTCCCATTATCCCTACTTGTATACTTTGAACTTTGATTTCGATATAGATTTCATAAATGTTTGTATAAATATTTTTAGGTATATAACCAGAAGAAAATCATATTGTTATGAAATATTATCTATATAATTAAAAGAATTGAGTTTTTATTGCTCCTTGATTCATTGTTTGTGTTAAGGTTATTCTATATATATATATATCTTCTTCTTCTTCTTCTTCTTTTTTAATTTTATCATTCAATGTATAGCTAATTTTGAATTACTTTTTATAATTTATTCTGAATTATTTTTCATAAAATTATTTTATTTTTAAATAAATGTTTGTTTTTGGTGAATAGTCACGAGAGTACTCCTAGTTGCTCAATGAAGCAACACTATTGCCAAATTCCTGTTCAAGCGAGTCAAAACTCAAAACAAAAGGAGAGGAGAGAGATATTGCTCGTTAATTCAAGTATATTATAGTAACAAGATGTGACCTCGGATCTAATTCAATCCAGAATTTAAATTATAAGTTTACTAAATCAACCTAAAATAATATCCTTTTAAACAGTGAAGATGATGGATCTCTAAACCAGTTTAAATAAAATAAAACTCAACATGAAATAAATTCTGAATTGACAAGTAATCGGACTGATCCACACAGCTGGAACAAATTTAATAGCCACGCTCTCAATCTCACAATATTGCACAAATTGTCGACTTCCATTCTTGCTCCTCTAACATAATTATTTGGAATTAAGCAATAATCTCCCATTATCAACCATATTAGCTTCAATAATAATAATAATAATAATTAAAAAAAATAGTGGTAGCTAGTAAGATACGAGGAGATCTTCTCTGAATAAATAAAGGCTAGATTTCGACGTCAATCACGCAAACATCCAGGATTTATGGCATGCATAAATTGTCCCGGTGGTCCCTCGTGCACTCTCGAACAATTATGGGAACCGTTCTTTCTCTCCATCTTTCTTCCTGTTTGACAATCCTTCCACCCTGAAAGGTGATTTCTCCTCAACAAATCACGTTAGGTTTCATTTTTCTAATCTAACCCCTTTATATGAGGTGAAGTGTTTGAACTTCGATGACTCGAACTAATTATTAATTTAAGCACACATCAAATCTACGGTTGTAGCTAGTACGAACGATTAGCAAAATACTCTTGAAAAACATGGTGTGTTAGAGTTATGTTTTGCTGATCTTTACTACTGTGAGATTCTATTTTCTCTGTAATATGTTCACTTTGAAGGCTATAGGAATATGCTTTTAACCTCAAGTAATGGTTTTGTTTTATAGTTTAGAAGGATTTTTTATGTTATAATTGTTTTGTTTTATTTGAAAGACTGTTACCTTTTAGATATTCTATTAAATTTTGAAAAACTCTTAGTTTATCTTATAAATATGAATGGGTTGAAAATAATATTTTATTTTATAGTATTTATTACATTACTTTATAAAATAATGCCACTTACAGTTCAATATATTCTCACACTGTCATTAAAATATGTTACTGATGGAAATTAGAATATGTCTTCGTAAAAAGAATTAAAAGATTAATAAATTATGAAATACTTGATACTCTTGATTTTATTAATTTTAAAACTTGTGTGGATTTTATTAAGAAAAAAGCAAACTAACAAGTCGAATAAAAGTTAAAAATTATACGTAAATAGACCTTAGTTTATTTGAGAAAAATCATTTATATAGGACCAAGAATAAACATAAGATTTATTTGTTAAGTAAAGCTGCCACATGTAGAAATACCTGGAAAATTATATGCATTGTAATACAAACTTTTATTCTAAGCAAACATATCGACATCATATATAAACTTTTGTTCCTTGAGTTCACACGTTGAAAATATAAATTTTTATCTTTAGAAATACACTATTAAATCTTGAGTGTGTCAGAATTTAGAAATATTAAAACCTTAAAAAAAACATAATTTTTTTTTTATCAATGTTAAAAGATATATTTTGATCTATTTATTTTTTCATATAAAATCTAATTATAAATTATTTTAAAAACATCTTTAGATATATAAAGTATCATATATAGTTGATTAACAAAGATGTTTTTTCCATAAATGATGTGAGAAAGAATTGTATCAAATCCAGCATAAATACCCTCGTTATTCTAAGTGTACATATTACATGATAGCTAGCTAGTCAATCGCGCAGAGCCTGGCTTCTCTATTATTGTATGCGTACAAGGAGCAAATGGTGCCCTTCAGGGCAAGCTATAATAATCTATATAGGTGTTTAGGTTCTAGTTTTCTTGCTGTGGTGATTTTCTTGAATAGTCCTTGCTTTCTCCTCCTCTTGTCCTTGCGATTTTCACAACCAACTAAAGCTCCCTTTCTTTTCATGTCTCAGCTTCTCAATCAAATTCTTTTTCTATTGATTAGACGTACACTACTGTTTTAACCTTTTTATATATCCTTTATAAGCACTCGCATCCATATGTGATCACCCCCTAGCTCGCTGATCGTCATACTTCGAACTCTTTTGCAGGCAGGCTCTCTCTTTTTCTCTCATGGATAGTATTGGTTGTCTCACAAAATCTAATACCATCACTAGCAACAACACAACCCTAAAACTATTTGGCTTCAACATTTCAGAGAACAACCCTACCTTACCTTTAGATTCAAGCAAATCTCCATCTGGGTCACAAGAACCAGAGACTAGTTTCCAATCCTCCAAAGGGAGGAAATATGAGTGTCAATATTGTTACCGTGAGTTTGCAAACTCTCAAGCCTTGGGCGGTCATCAAAACGCTCACAAGAAAGAAAGGCAGCTTTTAAAACGTGCACAAATGCAAGCCACACGCCGCCTGGCTTTAGCTTCCTATGTTACCATACCAAATTCCATGTTCTCGACGTTTATTCCATCGCCACCACACCTCCTTGATCCGGCTGGGGTTCCGGTGGAAGCAGCGAGGCAACAACACACCCAGTCTCCTCCATGGTTTTACAAGTCCTATCTGGGCCGCATGTCGCGTGACGGCCGATACCTTAACGGGCCTGCTTCTATTCCCGGAAGGTGTCTGGATGGAAAGAGCAACTTGGTTTGCAGTGAGGCTGGGCTTCGTGCTAGAGCTTTTCCTGTGAGTGGATTTGCAAGAGAAGATGTTGAGCCTCATCACCGTCACAAGGGATTAGGCTTGGATTTGCATCTATAGTGGTCTTGGACCAGATATGCATCTATTTTTAGCCTCTCTTGTAATGAATCTGTGCTGCCGTTTCCTCAAAAATATGAAGGAAATCCTAGAAGTTGCAGGCGGCACACTTTCCAACTTCCAGAATTACTATTTATAGTTCATCTTCAAATTTTTCTTTTGGTCGTATATGCTTTCATGTATTGGTAGCCATTAAACGGACATCCTTTGTATTTGGCGTTTAGGAACGATAAGGAAAGTGAAAATTTTAGCAGACATCAAGCTCAAGTCTCAGCATTATAAAAGTAAATTTATTAAAAAAAACAAATAACAATTAATGGGTAAATATTTGGTATTTAATGAAATAGGAAGGGGATCTCTAGAGTTTTAATCTCATATATTTATCAATGAATTTCTGATATAAAAAAAATGATTCTAATTTTGAACAAATATATGGTATAATCTTCCAATTATTACAAGACAGATCTCAAATCTTGCAGGAATTGTTTTTTGTCGCCGATAAATTCCACTTGGATAAGCAATGAATGGGTTAATTATGCCTAGGTGGCCATTTGAAGTAAATAAATAAAGTTTTATTTAATTAACAGTTTCATTATGCCACTTGGATTTTCCTGCTCTCTTTAAATTTCATGGAATCACGTGCCAGCAGTGTTGAGGATTGTTTCGGGTTTGCAAGGCATGTCAGCTTTTTGGTGAAGGGTTTTTTATGGTTGTAAAAAAACAATTAAAACAACGAGGACCAAAATGGACTTTGACAAAACACGACAAACTCTTTTCCATGTTTCACGATGCGAGTAAATCTACACTATCGGCCCTCAATATTAACTTTTTTATACTTATTACAAATTGTTAAGAGTTTTTGGGTATTGATTTTAATTGCTTACAATTTCTATGTAATAAACAGCATGGCTAAGCATAGATATATTTTTAGTTAAAAAATAAATTAATAAAAAAGAGAGAATTTATGTTAACAACTACATTTTTCTACATAATACATGTTATTATGATTTTAATGAAAATCCATTTTTTATTTCCATATAAGTAAATAAAATAAAAATTTAACAGTGTCTTGTATCATAAGATCAAATATATTTATGTCCGCTTATCTTTTAACAATTGTTTTATGATTTTTTATTCATATAATTTTCATTTTATTTCATTAAACCCACACACTATTTTTTAATTTTTAATTAAAACTTTTCATTATGAACAAAAAATATATTCACAATACCTTCATATTTTGTTCTCGTGCTAAAAATTAATTTAAAATTTTATTTACAATGAACATGGGTATTTAGGATTTTTTAAAAAAAAAATAGTATAATTAATTAAAAATATTAGAGCAATAACATGATAAAAAATAATAAAATAGCATAATTTATATATGTCACAATTAAAAAATATGACTTTTATAGCTTGACACTATTGAGAATAGTGACTTCCAATAAAAACAATTAAATGGAATAAAGAAATTAGAGATAAGAGAAAAGAAAAAAAAGAAAAAGACAATGATTATACATCAAAATTTTGATTATGACATTATTAATATAATAAAAAAATACAAAAAAATATCATAAATAATAACATGAGTGGATCAAACTTGTTGTCCAAAGATTATAAATGACTAACTTTACTTTTGACGAGAAATGATGGGTCATTCGGATGGATCACCATCAATAACATTTTTTGGTGTTATTGAATTTTTTTCAAATTTTTTTTAATAATATTGATGATAGCATAATTAAAATTTCCGTGTATAGATTTTTTTCTTTCTTTATTTTTCTTTGTTTTCTGATTTGCCCATTTAAAATTTTTTATTATACGTCATCATTCTGAATAATATCAGACTATAAAAATCATGTTTCATAATCATGAAATGTACAGTTGTTTCATCAATTATTTTATAATTATGTTATTTTTCCAGTACTTTTTAAAAAATAAGCTAAAAACAAAAAATAGCCATTAATTACCTGGTCTTGTTTTGTTATAATTTACAAATATTTGGATGTATCCTTTAAGAACTGGGGCCTGAATTGAAGTCCCATCTGCATAAAAAGAACAAATACGCTCCCGATCGATCGATCTCGATAAATAATATCCAGATGTACCAGTTTCTGTGGAAAGGAATCCACTCCACGTGTCCTGAGTGTACCTGTGTCTCCATTTCATCGAACCTTTAATTTTCCCAGCAAGCAATCTCGCCTGGGGGCCAAGACCGGTGGCAGCCATGACGGTTGAGCAGGAAGAATTTCTTGAAATGATGGCAAAATCGAAGGGATGGATCCGATCACCTACGCACGATTATAGGGCTGGAGTGCCGGTAGGGCTTAGTGGTTAGGGCAGGCACGCTATATAAGGCACGATCCCTCAAGTTTGACTTTTACTATAGCTAGACAAAGTCTAGATGGTTAGAACTTACTCATGGATCGGTAGGACTCCCAAGTGGCCACTTGGCCACTTGGCCATCTGAGAGCCCCAGTTCTGAATTTTCTTGCCCTCCGCTAAGACCTAGCATTTCAAGATGGTAATGTAGTCCCTCGACTTTCTGTGGTGGTCTGTTTGGTCCCTAATGCCAACTACAAACAATTAATTGCTGACCATACCACTTGTTTGAAATAAATAAATCAAGAATTTGAGACTCCCGTATTAAAAGAAAATTTCAAGAATGAGAATAGAATAAAAGCTAAAGTATACTGATTATTATCTCATTCAAAAGCTTAAGTTTAGAGGTAGTTGAATTCTTTGTTATATATGGGAGAAAAGTTACAACTAGGAAGGAAAGGAGAAGAAGGGAGAAATAATTTTTCTAATAAAATTCTCTTTAAATACATGGTTTAAATTGAGTTCTTGAGCTTGGACTATACTTTGGTTTGGATATGATTGTTCAAACTATGAATTTTATAGTTTGATTAAAATAGACCTTGAGTTGCACTTGAAAATTTCAATTTCATGCAACTACTAAAGTATGTTTTTCTATTTTACATGTTGTTAGTAAACATGATATAACATAATTTTTTTGATAAAAAACTGTTGATTAATTTTTTAGTTATGTATAAATTTTAAAAAAATCAAATGAAATTCATCTTATTTAGACATGGCGAGTCAACCAGTTATCTAATAAAAAATTATTAACATTTAAAAAAATACTAATATTATTTTAGATTTTTTTAAAATAATTTTTTTAATTAACTTGAATTATTTGTTTGATTTGTAATCCAAATCTTACATCCAATATGGTGTTAGACTTTGATTTGAAACTTGGCGTGATATTTCTAGACACATGTTCAGTTGCTTTCACCATTTTAAAGATTTATGTTTCTTTTTAATAGCTTATTGTATATTTTGATTTCATTCTATCAAACTAAAGTAGCATAATGATGAATAACATATAATTGATGAACATTGTTAAAAACAAAATGATAAATGCACGAGTTATTTGGTATCATATGCCTGTTTAAATCAATTTTTGCTTTTGTTTAAAAAAATTTGAAAACAAAAATATAATTTTAAAAAAAAAAAGCAAAACCCCAACACATTTTTAGTTATTTTTAAAAAAAAGAGTAATAGTCTTGTTTATAAACAGAAATTGTAATAAACAATGCCCATAACGTTAATATTTGTTTTTTCAATCATGGGCATAATTCAAACTAAATTTTGGTTAATGCGACTCCGCAAAGTTGGCCTAGCGAAGAAGAACTGGGACTTAACAATGTGTTTCTGTTCAAGATTCCAGGTTCAACTCTTGCCGAGTGCAAAAATTTCATGAGGCCAGTGAACTTGGCAAAGTTTATGAATTAATTGTGATGTATTTGCAGGAAATTCCTTGCCGAGAGTCTGTTCATCGCAGGAACAGTTGGGCCTCGGCCTGGATAACGGTGCTAATCCACAAAAAAACAAAAAACAAAATACCGCGTGCTTCCTAACCCAAAACACAAGCTGACTTACAAGTGGCATCTCCCTGTTCTGTCGTCTTGAACACCACAAGAAGATAGATTTATTTCATGGAACAGAGATTTGAGAAGCTCAATTGTCTTTTGTAGTTCGTACTCTTGTACCCTTTTAAAAAACGAAAAGTAAGGGTGCATTTGCAACTGAAACAATGAACAATGCAGCAGTAATTAATTAATTATGTCAAGAACATAAGAGGTTACAGTAACATGGAACCTAAGTACTCATGGCTGTCTTCGGTTTGGAGTAGGTGAATCAAAAAGCCTATCTTTAATCCGTGGGTCCAACAATCGCTGTCATCAATTCATCATCATCGCTTTCATCACACCTCCATCCATGTTATCCAATTGACAATTTATCCCCAAGTCTCGTTGTCCGTCAACATCCTCCTTGTGTTGGCTTTACACATCTTGAGCTAGTTCAATGCATTGAATCCATTAATCTAGTTTTTTTATGTTGTTAATGGTGGAGAGAATAAAAAATAATTGAGATGTCAAGCAAAATCTACAGGCTAGCTCTACCTCTTCCTTATCCTTTATTATACATGGTCGATTCTTAGTTTATTAGCCAGGTCAACTCTTAACGGCCTCTGAATAATTGCTCTATTAATTCTCTTGATGAGCACTGATGAACTGTCATTTGAATCGGAGAGATAAGTTTTTGGTCTTCCCTTTTGATTTTTATCAATGCAGATTTAAGATGGTATTAAATGCTAGATGCTTTACGTTTAGTGTCCTGGCAAGTGCTTTGGCTTCTAATTTCGTTGGGTTGTCTTCTTCAAACTACGGTGGAAATATAAAGGATGGTTAACATGGGAAACACGTAGAAGAGTGCCCTTCTTTTGTCATCTTCAATCTTCCTCTTCTCTTCATTGCCATAGCCAACGTGGTTTGTGTAACCACGTTCAACTTTCCAGTTTCTTACATCATAGGCAAGGAAGGGTACCTTCCCCTCCCCCACACACCACCCCCAGCCATATAGGCACAAGCCACACGAAAAGAAAGGAAAATATCTTCAACCTATCATCAATGAGGAGTATAGCGACCTGCTACAGTGAACATGCCATCAAAGTTTCCGATTCATATTGCTCAGGTCCTTCAAACCAGGCCTATGTCTCCCCAAACATTACATCTTCGATCCCAGATACAGTTTCCTGTACATACAAAGTGAGAAACTCCCCTCAAAAGCACCTCTTGATCACCCTCACTTGGTGCAACAAATTCATATTCCAAGGCCTCAACATCAATATTAGCAGTGATAACGTCTCTTCTCCTTCAAGAAAAGGTGCTGATTCCGGCCACCAGCTTCAAGAAATTAAAGGCACCAGCGCATTCCAATCTCGCAATTCAAAGATTGAAGTCTTTTGGGATCTGTCCGCTGCTTATTTTGATGCAGGCCCTGAGCCGATCAGAGGGTTTTATGTTGTTGTTTTGGTGGACTCAGAATTGGGTCTAGTCCTCGGAGATATCAATCATAATGAAGTAGTCAGCACAAAATATTCGAAGACAAGACTGCCACCACCGAGGCCCTCTCTGGTTTCTCGAAGGGAGCATTTCTCAGGCAAGACAATGTATTCAACCAAGGCACAATTCTGTGATACAGGAAAAGCTCATGACATCTTGATAAAGTGCGGTGGAGATCAAGAAGATGGATCAAAGAACCTAGTTTTGTCAGTGTGGATTGATGATAAGAAGATTTTCCAAGTTAAGAGATTAAGGTGGAATTTTCGAGGGAATCAGATAATATTCTTGGATGGTTTACTGGTGGATGTGATGTGGGATTTGCATGAATGGTTCTTCAAGGAAGAATCTGGGTGTGCTGTTTTCATGTTCAGGATTAGAAGTGGGTTGGATAGCAGGCTCTGGCTGGAGGAGGAGGACAAGAATCTGGAGCACAAGGGACAAGAGAGGCCTGAGTTCTCACTGTTGATCTGTGCTTGTAAGAACCCTGGGTGATTCTTTCTTTGGACTGTACAATAGCGTTAACCATCCTCTCATCACCTTGTTCTAATCAAACAACCTGTAATTACTGGGATTTGTAAACTTCTGAGATACACAGCAACTAGGCTAACTTTTCTGTTTGTTTGTGTGATCATTTCTTTTTTTTTTTCTTTTTTTATATGTATATATAAATTTTTTTAGATTAATGTGGATGTTCAAACCAGTTTACACGCACGTATAGTGGTCGGAGCCATTGCCCGCTGTAATATTTTTTTTTTCCCCTTTGATACTGAGATAATTTATGTTTTTTTATCAACCCAAAAAGAAAAAAACTGTTTAATTAACTCAATAGCTTCTTTGCTTCTTATGTCCGGTTCATCGCCTAATTACATTTGAAATATTTTTTGTAGAAATTAAAATAATATATTATTTATTTATAAAAAATATTTATTTATTTTTATTGTAAAAAATTTCATTTTACAATAATTTTAATCAAACACTTATTTTTTAATCTACTTTTTAAAAATTACAACTAAAAATATTTTTATTAGATCTTATTTAGTATTATAATAACTTCTATTTTTTATCTAATCACAAAAAAAAATTGATTAACAAAATATCTTTTATTTTTTACATCCTTTACATAATTATATTTTGAACTTTAATTTTATAAAAACTAAAATAATTTGTTTTTTATCCACGCAGACATACTTTTTATTTATTTTACATGCAAAATTTCATCATACAATAATTTTAACTAAAAACTTATTTTTTAAAAATCTATTATTTTTTTAAATCATATCTAAAAGTGTTTTCTTGAACTAACTTTTCTTAGTCAACAAAAACTAAGACACCAAACACATAATTAAACCTATTATTTTTAAATTATAATTTCAAAAACTACAATGATACTAAACACACATGCTTGCACGTGGAATACGTGGCTCATTGCTATTGGGGATTGAGAAAGTCACATGTCCACTTCATGCACTTAATTAATGTTGGATGGATAATAATTTTATTCTAAAGACTCCTTAAGCGTTTATACCATATTCAAGGGGCGACGGTAAATTAAACAACGGTTCGTTATCGGCCATCACCAACGAATCACTAATAGCTAAAAATCTTAGTACATATAATATAAAATAAAAAAATAAATAATTTAATTATGCTTTTCCACTCATATAAAAAACTTAAGTATATATTAAATGAAAAGAATAGGTAAAAATCCTAATTAAATCACATGAAGAGCCACTTATTATTGTTAAAAACCTCTTATTACATAATAATTCAAGGATGGCTTTCTAGAGATTTTGAAAACCAACAAGCCTGCGCTTACCGGCTGCAGCTTCTACAAGCCAGCAGCAAGCACTCAACGTCTATGCTTCAAAGCTGAGCTCTTTGATTTTTCGGCTCTCTCTCCTCCTCCAAGCAACTAAGTTTGTCTCTGTATCCAAAGTATCCAAAACACATAAAGGGTTAGTTCATTTCTTCTTTACAAAGCTTTACTTTTTGAGTTTCAAATATGGAATGCCTTATCTCTTTCTCTCTCCTTTTGAACCTACCATGTGTTAACTCTCTCTCTCTCTCTCTCTCTCTGTCAGCTCAGAGGTTAATGGAAATGGGTTTTCTTTTTGGAACTTTAGTTTGTGAAAAGTTCGAATCTTTTTTAGAGCTTAAGTAGCAGGAATTGTAATTACCTAGCCCACAAAATTCTCTGTTTGTTATGATGTTTATGGCCATTCCCCTTCGTTCCTGGCTATTGGCAGTTCATACTTTATAATTTAAAGAGCTCATTAGTTAGATGGTTTGTTTTTATGATTGAATTGAACTCTTCAGCAAATTCTTACGTGAATAAAACATGTACAGTTTTAATAATTTCTATGCAGGATTAATATGATTGAATCAGAGACAGGCCATGGACGGGGCTGATACGGCTGAAGGCACAAAAACCTGCCTTTGTCTCGTTCTCCGTCAGCCTAAAGATTGGGTCCTTTTCAAGCTGATTGGATAAGAACCCTTCAACGAGGTCAAATTGCCATTGAAGAAAATATTTGGATAATGCAGTGAAGGATTACGTCACTGCAAGCATATGCAGAGCAACAAAATACTGTAGCATGTTCTTAGATCATTGCCTGGCTGTGGGTCGGATGGATATATATTATGATGCTGTTAATATGTTATTTTAAGTAGAAAAATAATTATATAAGAATTTAAGATATCATTGAGGTGACAGGTTTAAAAATAACTTAAATAATTAATAAAAATATAATTTAATTTAAAAAAATCAAGATATTTTTTTAAAATATTAAATATTAGATTAAATTGAAATGATTCAGATTAACCTGTTAAATCTTATAATTAAATCATGAGACTCTGATAATCTTATAAAAATTAAATAAAAAATATTAAACTCAATTCTTAATTAATTTAATATTAAATGATGAAATTAAAAGTAAAATTTAACTAGAAAATAAGTCGAGTCAACTTGGGTTGACTTATCAAATATATCATGGATTAGATCAAAATTTTTATGGATGTAAAAAAAAATATACATGTGTTGTTGATGTGGTTTTTAGTAGGAAAATAATTAAAATATATGGGGATTAATTTAATGTGATCTAGTTAAAAATAAGTTAGATGACCGATAAAAATATAATTTGAATTAAAAATAAAGATATTTAAAAAAAAATAAAATGACAGCATATTAGATCAACTCAATTTAACTTACTTAATTCGTTAATCAAGTAATGAGACCTTGATAAGATCTATAGGAAGAAAAAAAAATTATTAAACTCAATTCTCAATTAATCTAATATTAAAAGATAAGATTAAAAAAAAATCAATTAAAAAAATAACAAGAAAAACCCAAGTTAATCTAGTTGACCTGTAAAAATTACAATCTGAGTTATGAGATCATGATAACTTCATAAAAAAAATATGAAACTCAATTCTTAATTAACTAAATGTTAAAAGATCAAATTAAAAAAAAATTGATTAAAAAATGACAAAAAAAACTCAAGTCGATATAATTGATATCATAATTTTGAAACTCAGCCTAACCCGACAGGTCAATTAGGGACTCAACTAACCCGAGGTTGGAACCAAGCCTAGTTAAAGAAAAAAACAAGAAAAGAAAAAACTTGGTGTAACCCAACTAATGTGACGGGTTGACCCTGTGATCAAGTAAGACTTGGTTATAAACTCAATTGTAACCTATTAATTTTTATTTTTTAATTAAAATGATATATTTTTATTTTAAAAAAAAAATTGATTTCAACAACTTGGTTACACAATGAAAACTCAAAACCTGGACTTTACATCGGACTAACTATAATTCACATGTAAAATTCACATATCAAATAATAAGATAAAAATAATTATATAAAAAATAAATTATAAAATTTAATATACAATAAATATAATATTAATAGATTAAAAAAAAAGTTTGAAGTTCGAAAAAAAATCATCGTTTAAGATAAAAGCAACAAACCTGTCCGTTGCTACATTTAAATGTGAAGGACTTTTAATATATATTAATAGTGGCTGCTTCTATAAAAGATTCTTGTTCCCATTAGACTTTTCTGATATCCAATAGACATGCAACTTTATTTTATATATTTTTTTAAAGAAAAAAATAAATAAAAAAAACAAGATAGATTTTCGTTGACTAAAATTTCGATACGACTAGACGCATCTTCTTCCACTGTATAAAGATGGGCTGTGGCAGTGTGATAGAATACACAAATATTATATTCCTTGTAAATATTAAATATTACCGGGAAAAAAAGAAAAATAGTTTTGTAGCCTGGTTATAATAACGGTGGATTCAAGCTATATTTAGCAACGTGTTTGAAATTATATTTTTTTTTAAATTAATATTTTTAAATAAAAAATTTTAAATTATGCCACAATCTCAAATAAAATTTTAATAATTAAGATGTTAGTAAAAATTTATTATTTTTTAAAATAATATCTTTAATGTTTTTCCCTTAAACATCAGTTTAAACGTGTTTTTTTTTAAGAAAATTGAAGTTAACTCATTAATCAACTCGAGCTTCAAACTGAGTTAATCTAAATTGATTCGTGTAATCATGGTTTGTAGCGGATCATCGGTTTAAATTACCGGTGGATTTGAAATCCGGTATGTCGGCAGGATCCAAGGCAGCAGGCTGACTGCCATATGTAAAGTCTTGCAATAGCCTCTTACAATTGGTGAAGACATCTTTTTTTAATTAAAACAATTCAGAAAAAATAATGGAAGAAAGAAAACCCTTTTGCTTTTTCTTGCAAATGGATAATAAAAAAAATAAATTCTGTACCCAAAATCAAATGATAACATCATCGTCAACTCAATGAACCTTTCCCATGATCCTGTCTTCGATCCCACAAATGGATGGCTCTTGATCCACCACAAAACACCAGTCAAAAGCATCGTCTAGAATCAAACGGTAGATCTAGAATCCAATGTGATTCAACAACTTTAATCCCTTTTCAGAAGGGACCCACCTCGACAATAACGTTGTAGTGGTAAACTATTACAACGAAAACCTAAAAGGGTTTCCCTTTGTCTCTCTGTTTTTTTGACCGTTGCAAAATCAAATTCTTTAAGCAACTCAAAACCTTGAAACTACCAGCAAGAATTAGAGAACAGAAAAAAACAGAGAACCAAACACATCAACAATGGCAGATACTAGCGGTTCTCTGAATCAAACCTATCAACAAAACCCTAGTATGCAATCTCTCTTTCAAGCCCTTGATCCTATCTCTCTAATTCTCTCTCAAAATTCTGCAGATTCTGATCATCCGGTGCCTTTAAGGCTGACTACAGAGAGTTATATCATGGAAAGAGGGCCAAGATACGGAGCATATGCTGATTTAAGAGAGACAAAGCTAAGAATGAAGATGTTAAGGCAACAAGAATACGAAGAGAACGATATTAGACAGACCCCACCGAAGAAACAAGTGAAGTTCCTAGAAAATTTGAGGCAACAACAATGTGAAGAGAATGATTTTAAACGAACCCCACCAAAGAAACAAGTGAAGTTTCAAGAAAACTTGGGGAATTCAAGAAAAGGGCTCTCTGTTTTGGCTCAATCTGTGCCTGATTTCTCTGCTACTTTAAGGAAAGAAAACCGGAAGCCACGGCAGGAATTGACACCTCCTTCAAAGAATGTGCTGAAA